TAACTAACTAACTAACTAACTAACTAACTAACTAACTAACTAACTAACTAACTAACTAACTAACTAACTAACTAACAACATTATATTTTGATAGTAACTGTTTGTGTTATCTGCCTGTACTGTATGTGGCCTAAGCATGTTACATTAGAAGGGAAAACAAGACTCACCCAGTCTGTGCAGAACAGCCCAGAAGAGAAAAGGTGACACCAGGATGACTTTTTTCAGGAGACAACACCCTACAGTTCTGCATTACACAAGCATAACTGCACCACAAAAGTCACCTTGTCAGTGGGGTACCAAAGCAAAGGAGTGCCAGTCAAGAGTTTGGGAGGCGTCACAGGAAATAAAGTGATCATATCGAGATGGGATTTGTCACAGTTGAGAATATCCAAGCACTCCCGCTTATTACTATCAGCAGGAACAGTGATGATAAAACAGAGGTACATAAATCAATGAAAAATGTATATACACTGGAATAAACCTCAGTCCCATATGCATCTAATGCTCTGAGGATTCTACAATCCCATCCCATTCAGAGACTGCATAAATATTGCCTGCAGGGATGAAACTGGTGGGCAGATCCACCGGCTGAACGTACTGGTTGATGATAGCAGATTCACTCTGCTCGATCAGCACAATTTCATTGTTAACCAGTCAGGACCTTACCCTGTGATATGAGATGTCATGTGCAGCAGGATCAATCTGTTAATTGCAGCCCCACAAACCAATGCTTTCGATCACCCAGAACACATTGTGCTGAAAGAGAAGTGACAGCTGTTATTTGTTATTGGGAATGAAAATGAAGTGTGTGTCGGACTAACAGCTTGTAAAGCAGCAAGTAACAACCAAGTAACTGTCGATTGGGAAATCAGCTCATGAGAGCCAGTGTTCAGAGACTCCTGGTAATGCTGAGAAAGTTTTGTCATTTTTTCTGTAACAACTGCAAAAATCGAAGAGGAACTTGCATGCCAAAAAAAAAAGTTCATGTTTTCACATGTCTTCAGGGTTTTAGGGGTCATTGATTTTCTGTCTAAAAAACATACTGTACTTCCTCCCCACTATTAGGATATTATGAAAGTATTACAAAATACTAATTTCTAAATGTTGTTCAGACCTCCAAACAGCCCCAAGGTAAAGAGCACAGAAATGCCATGATTACTTGCAGGTTAGTTTATTGACATGTACAGTTTTTTATTGACTTTAACTAGTTATGACATTCAACACACCTCTATTTCTGCTGACCAATCAAAAACCTCTGGAAACATGAATGCCAAATCTTTAGTGTTATTGAATATCCTGTCATTGGTGGATCGCATATTGTCAAGGTGAAATTACCATTTTAGTCATTTATATCTTTTGGGGATTTGGTTAGCATATATATGCACCCTAGCGATTTTGGAGTTTAATAAGGTTGAGTTGATGCTGCCCTGGGTGAAACCTCTCTCACAGTTTAAATAGGAAACTCACCTTTTAGGAGCAGCGTTCATGTCACTGGGTCTGCTCTCACTTTTCCTGATTGAGAGTGTGTTTTTCTTGGAACCATTACAGTTTCAAATGACTTGCCTGAGAAACTCTGATCTGTTTTTTTTCTGCCCAACATGGGGGCTTTTTGTTTGCTTATTTGTTACTTTGATTTCTGTGTCTTTGTAGCGGTGGCAATTTTTTGGAGGTAATGAACTGTTTCAAGACCTGATTGCATACCATATGGTGCTTGATGATTCAAGTAAAACAAGAAAAGAAAAAATTATAACTTCTGCATTAGGAAATTAAAGAATCGTGCAAAACCTCCAGAGGGTTTATTGTATAATAAGAGATGAATGCAAAAAAGAGCTTTTGATGACATCAGGATGAATGTCAAAGGCTTACTTTTGGAATTTATGTTTGCAAACATATATATCCAAGGTTGTGAATATAATAATGACAAAGATAGAAAAGGATGTAATGCTGTCTAATACGTATTTGAATAAACTAGCTTTTGTTTTTCTCACAAGCTGTTTAATTGTGGAAGATGTTGTGTGGTGTAACATCTAGTACATGGCATATGTATATGGTAATATACTAAAATGACATGATATAAATTCCGCACAGCAAATGCCTTTCCACATGTATGTCAATCCTTCTTCTGTGTCATCACTGTAAACTAACTAAACAAAAATCTGTTGGAAAACCAAGACAAAAACATGAAAAAACAAAAGTTGAGGTTTAACATTTTGTTTATTTTGTCTGAAAGAGCTGCATGTTAATCAAAATTCTATAACAACAATGGAATTAGACTGATGGAAGGAATGCAGCAGCGCCAGATGGTGCTAAAGGGATCAGACTTAGTTGCTAGCCATGGTGGACTCCAGCCAGTCGTTGAAGAGGCAGACCTATGAAGGAAAAAGACCGGGGTCACAACAGATAATCAACGTGTCACTGCAGTTCAGACAGGCAGAGACTGATGAAACATTATTCCTCTTAGGAGCTCACCTTGGCGTAGACACCGGGATGGTCCCTCTCAGCGCATCCATAGCCCCAGGACACAACACCCTGCAGCTCACCGTTGCACACAACGGGGCCACCAGAGTCACCCTGACAACAGAGAAGAGGAAGGTGAGCACATTATGACAACAGAGATTTGTGGTATACTGACTCCTGCATGAACACATGTCAGTACCTGGCAAGAGTCCTTGCCTCCCTCCAGATAGCCAGCGCAGAACATGGCGTCGGTGATCATGCCGGGGTAGGAGTTGTCACAATCACGGTCGGACAGGATGGGAATGTTCAGGCACTGCAGCTTGTTACTGTCAGCAGCTGGAGAATTCAAGCAGATGTTAAGAAAACTCCCACAAAGGTGTTGAAAAGTAAGCAAACATGAGAGTGGTGCAAGAAGGATACTCACAGGAGCTCTGGGTGTTGCCCCAGCCGGAAACTCTGCACATGGTTCCAGCGGAAGCGCAGCTGGAGGGCAGAGCCACGGGCTGCACGTACTGGTTGAGGGTGGCGGGCTTGCTCAGCTTGATCAGCATGATGTCGTTGTCAATGTTGTAGGCGTTGTATCTGGGATGGCGGATGACTTTGGCGGAGCTGATAAACTGCTCGGTGCCCTCGCTGACCCTGATGTTGTGCTCTCCCATACGCACCTCCACACGGCTGAAAGCAGTTCAAAGAGTTAGCGCACATATACACATACATGACCAACAAAAGTTCATCTGAGTGATATCATGCAACATGCAATGTCGGAGGACAGAGGAATGCTGTTGGCTTACGACTTGTAGCAGTGAGCAGCAGACACAACCCAGTTCTCGTTGACCAGGGAGCCACCGCAGAAGTGGTACCCAGAGTTCAGAGACACCTGATGGGGCTCAGAGTAGGGCTGGCACTCAAACCCTCCGACGATCTTGTCGTC